TAGACAATTGCTCCGCTAACCTTCATCTATTGTAGAAAGTGAGGCGCAGTCCTTGTTCTTTATGTCAACACTCATTCTTTTAATATTTGCATTATCTGCCCAACTCTGTTAACATATTGACAAACAAGGTACATTCAAAGTAAAGTCAGACAAGTCAAGATTGGATAATACATACATTTTAACAGATGGTAAGTATTAAGTTCTTATTTTATGTAGTTTGTTCCGAATTGCAAACCATATGAATTATGAAGGGACAAGACCGTAATTTTCAAACCACAAAGACAAAATCCGTAATTTTTAACAAACCACGTTGACAAAAACGTAATTTACTCAAAAATTAACTTAAAAAAAACCATTAATTAAACCAAGCAAAGAAAGCCAGTTTTATTTATGTAAACATGGTTAGCATATAATTAACATCGATTACAAAACACTCGGATCGCGTAACCCTGCTTACGCGAAAGCTCGACCACGTCGAGCCGGACCCTTGAAGAACATCCTCCGCTTTTGCTTCTGTATCACCTTCTTCACCGTACTCCCCGGAGCTCCGAACGTCAGTTCCACCGCCTCATCCTCCCATTGACTCATCACGTTATCCTTTCCGGCAATTGGGAACCACTCGTTCCTGTCGGAATTTAACCCGAAACCTATCACTTCAAGATTCTGGTTGCCGGTGGCTTCAATCACCACGGGATGACCTGCCGGAACTACAACCACGGTTCCCCGTCTCAGCTGTGAACTCACTTTCTCGTAACTTGGACGTCCACCAAAGCCGCCACGGGAGTGTTGCTCGGATAAGTGAGGACACGCCATCTCAAACTCGCCTTCACCGTTCGGCACCACCAAGACCATCGTTGCTCTGGTGTTGTAAAACGGCCCCGCCATTGATCCCTACGAATTGAAAAACATTTATATATTTCATTACAACAAAATTGGCCAACTACTATAGGTGCCAATAGACTCCTTTAAACTGCTTTATATAAGTTATGGCTGTTTGGTTGGTTTTTGATTAAGTATTGTATACCTAAGTTGTAGTTATGGAGTAATCTTTTGGCATAGATTTGAAGGTTTTTTCTTAGATGGATAGAGCATGCTTTTAATTGGGAGCAAGAGTGAAAAAAACTTGGCTTTATACATAAAACTTCCTAATAAGCTTACTGAATAAGTCACTTTCTATATCATTAATCCACTGCCAAACAATCATGTATCGTTGATCGAATAAGTTGTGAGTCACATTAAGCTGCCTAACAAGCAAGTCCTTAACTTCATACATGGATAGTTCAATATGTTGACCAAACAATATATCGTCTATTTAAATACGATGTAATAAGTTTATAGGACGTTTTTGGACGTTTTAATCAATTTTTAGGACATTATTAATACAAAGTGTCGTATTAGCTATTTTATAGAACAAATTTAAACATAAGTATCCTATCAACATATCTTTCTATAAGGCACTCGTTTTACGTTTTAAATAAAAAGATCCTAAAAACTTGTTACGACACGAAAAAACGTCCTATAAATTAAGGCTTACAAAACAGTCTATAAATTACGTTTAGATTGTACGTTTTATTGTTTGGCTATAAATTAAGGCTTACAACACAGTCTATAATTGGGACGTTTTTACATTTTTGACGTCATATAGATCAAATTTTGTTGTGTAGGGTTGTATTGTTACTTTGTTTTTAATCGGTTTCCTTCGCAACGGAATTCTAGAGAGAGCTTACACACCTGAGATATGTTGAAGAAAGAAACCGCAACATCGATGTCTCGAAGCTCAGATAAGTCATCGGAATCGACCTCATGGAGTTGTCCATTCTCGTTTTGAACGGATGCGCTTTTGCTGAAGATATTGTAAGAACCCTTTCCTTCTCCGAAAGGCCATATTCGACTTTCTTCCAACGATTTGATCTGCTCTGCCGTAGCTTTCTTGAATACCCCTTTCTGTACTTGTTGCCCGAAGAACAGTCTCTCGATCTCATCTCGATTGGTCTGCAATAATTTGCAGACATTAAAACTCAAAATCCAAGGTTTCATGCAAGGGTTCGAGGGGAGGACCTATTAAGGTCCGAGCGGGATCCGTGCACCCTCTCTGACACCCACCAGAAAACCAGAAAATCCCTGGCAAATTCGGCTTAAAACACATTAAGCGACTTTGTGGAACTTTGATCCACCTCAAAAAGTGGACCCGTCCGTCGGTCGAAATCCCGAGTCCGCCACCGGTTTCATGGTGGATTTGTTACGAAAAGATCTATAAGAACTTACATCAAAAGCAGCTTCAAGAACTTCGGTACTGAATGCATTCAGAAACGATGATTCTGGGTTCTCGCCACCGACGCTGAAAAACGTCTGCAATTCGCCGGGGACGGAGATCGAACGTAGGATCTTGGCCAAGACCAGTTTCTGGTTGTTGTGTCTGTTGATCAGATAAGCACTTATTCCGGCCGGTACTCGGAAAATATCGCCGCGTTTTATATTGAAGGTTTGTCTTGATTTAGGGTTGATCAAACTGATGGTTCCTTCTCCTGTGAAATTAATCAAAACCCATGAACTAAAAGAGTTCGAATCAATTAGAAGTATGAATTCTAGATTAGAAATCAACTAATAAACGATAGTTTGATACCATTTACGACGAACAAAAGAGCATCAGCATCCCAATGGTTCGGTATTATGAACGTCTGAGGCTCGGCTTCGAGGAACCCAACTCGGTACTCCTCGATTCCCCGGAAAAGCTCCGATCGATCGGTGAACTTCTGAAGAACCCTGACATTCCCGAGTTGCGATTCGAGCCTCGTCGTGAAGTGACGATCTTCAAAAACGTAAGGATTGTTCGATCGTTGTCCCTCATCAAAATCTCCACTCCAGTTCTTCAACCTCAATCTCCTGCCACGGTTCTCCTGATCCTGTTGATTTCTTACCTTCGCTTCATGGAACTCTTCGCACGTCTGCTTGCACGATAACTGCTGGTCTCCGGGAAGCTTCTCGCACTTAAGCTGGCAGACGACGATGTCGGCATTTTTATCGCTCAGAGCTAGGGTTACGGTGGCGGAAAGAATCACCACCACCGAAAACAAGAAAAGTAGACAACTTTTTGCTCGGACCACCATTTTTTCCGATCAAGTTTGGTTGATTGTTCGCCGGATAACCATCAGCCACGTCTATATATATATGTATGTATATAATTGCTGTGAGATACGTGTAAGAGATTATGGTATGAGGTGTCGGGTGATTGATGAAATTTGGAGGTCGCATGAAGACGAGTGTCGAAATGGGTGCATACGTGTCAACAGGAAGGTGCCAGCTAGGATATATGGTTGCCACGTAGGATTCGTTTGTTTCCGTTCATATGACGGAGTGGTCACGTGAGGAGAAGGGGGTGGTCACGTGGCTGTACGGAAAGAAATTGAGGATGAGAACAACGAACACTAAAATGTTTATTGGGAGTCGTTACTTGGTGATATAAACGAGACCCGAGTTTTTAACAAATTATTCGAGTTTGAGTTTGTTTATTTCGAGTTCAAGTTTGGTAAAGATCGAGTTTAAGTTGATCTTAAGGGATGTTTGGGATTGCTTATTTAAAATAATTTAATATTTTTTTGTAAAAGTGTTTATTAACTTATGTGGTATCAAATCGAAGTTAAATAAAACAGGATTAAAATTGTAAACTGGTAATAAGCAGTTTTTCATAAGTCAGAAAAGATTAACTTATCAAAAACAGCTTATTACCGGTTTGGCACCGGTATAAGCAATTTTTTTTTTCTTATCCAAACACTAGAAAATAGCTTATCACCGGTGTCAGACTGAAATAAGTTAAAAATCAGCTTTTGTAAACAATCCCAAACACCCCCTAAATATAAAATAAAGTTATTGCTTAATATAACAAGTCTAGCTTAATAATACAAATATTGGACCTGACTCGTTTAAAATGTCGATTAAACTTTACGTACTGAGTCGAGTCGAGTCGAGTTGAGTCATTCGGACATACGCTTTTTCAAGCCAAACATATTTATATATTTACAAATTTTATAATTGAAACATAAAAATAATCAGGTTTGGTAAATAAACGAGTTAATCGATTTCAAATTCGAGCTTGAACTCAAACTTGAAAAGATATTCAAGATCGAGCTCAAGCCCGATTTTGAAAAAGTTGATCAAGCTCGAATAACATGTTACTCAACTCGGCTCGTTTACACTAGTTTTACTCGTCTCGAATAGCTATGTTATAGTTTTTTCTAAAATAGAATATTAAAAATTTAAATCTCTAAAAATACATTATATTCAAGTCCAATATCTACTTTATTTTAGTAATTTTATCATTAATTATATTATTAAAATATTCGATTGATTTCATAAAATATTGTTTCTTTTTCCTAAACACTTGGGGGGTGTTTTGATATTGCTTATTTAAAGTACTTATGAACTTAATCCGAAGTGGTATCGGTAATAAACATTTTTTAGTGTTTGGATGAGGAAAAAAAGAGAATGCTTATACCGGTCACAAACCGGTAATAAGAAGTTTTTGATAAGTTACTCTCTTTTGATTTTATCATAAACAACTTATCAGATTTGAAAATCAAATTATCTTTTTAACCCTAAACCTTCTCTCCAACGATGACAAATCCTATGATAAAGCTCTACTCCTTCTGTGGTAAAGCTCCAATCCATTCTCTGGCCACATCGGCGACCCATCCACGGTGACAATTCTATCCTCTGATAAAGCTCCTCCCCTTCTCTCTCCACTGTCTCCCTCCTCCCTACTTCACGTCCCTCTCACCTTCATTGCTCCCCCATGGTTTCATCAGAATACACACCTGTCCACGTTCTTCACTAGTGGAATCACAGGGACGATCAAGATCTTGAATCACTGGAATGATCAAGATTTGGAATCACAGGGACGATCGATTTGGATTTGGCCCCTAAGTGACGTTCTGTATAAACAAAATTTACCCTACGTGACCCTCTGTATAAGCAAAATCACAGGGACGATCAAGATCCATTTTTGGTCATTTGACGTGTATAAACAAAATTTATCATATACTAAAAAACAATTTATCAACTTATTACGTTTTGGTACCGCAATAAGCTAATCTGAACATTTTTTTATAAAACACTGGTTTGACACCACATATGTTGATAAGCAAAAACATAAGCTGTTTAATAAGCAATTCCAAACACCCTCTTAATTTCAATGTTTCAATTAAATATTATTTCTCTCTCTTAAATGTGAAGTTTAGAGATTTCTTCAAATTTGGAGATTTCTACATTCTCTCTTTTCTTTTTCTTTATTTTAACATATGTTACAACATAGTTGTTAGAAGCAAAAAATACACCTTAAATCTTCAAAATCTTTACTTTAGCATAACTGTTGGAGATGTGCTAAAATTATCGCTAATATGTACTTATTTATCGGCATGTGCAAAACCTGAATCATCCAAAAATTTGATCTGAAGCCGAACCGAAAATGAGGTGTTTGTGCAAAATCTGGATGCTCCGAAATCCAGAAATCTAAGACTCGAATTTTGGGGGTTATTTATGGTCGGGTTGGGTTTGATTTTTGGCCACCCGGCCAGTTAGAAAACCCAAAATATATATATGTATATATACATATATATATATATATATATATAATTTATATATATGTGTGTGATTTATTTATCTAATTATTTTTGAAAAGTTCTAAATCTTAATCAGTTGTATTATTTTCTAAATTTTAAACCTACTATTGATTTCATCAATCATATCAATATGTTGAATCCGCCTACAGAATCAATTGAATATATATTACATATGAGATATGACTATAACGGAACCCGACTAACCCTAATCCAAAAAAAAATTTCGTACCCAACACATTAACCATAATCATAAACTAAAAATAAATGTTTATTATTCAAGAATCTATCGAAATTGAAATTCTGATAAAATTCAGATAAAATTCAATTTAAACAAGAAAAATAATATACAATACAACAATTTCGAAATTAGAAAGTAATGGAATGAAACAGATAAAAAATGAGAGTTTCATCCACAACAACAATTATATATGTAAGTACTCGGATCTTGAACGTCTTTAAGGTTAGGTACATTATCTGCTCATACGTCTACCTGCAACCATCAAATAATATGAAAGTAAATCAGTAAAATTGTTAAGAGGATTAGAAAAACAGATAGTCGTCATATATAATTGAAATATAGCATCGAACCATGTAATGTGTATCCTTGGCGACATGTATTCTCACACTTCAACGTGCAAAACGAATCGGCATAACCAGCATCTACACAATGCTTCTCACAATCGACGTAGCATTTGTCCTTAGGTGGGTCTGGCTTTTTTGGTGCATAAGCACTGTTAGCCATCATGGGCTTGTCTTCGAACTCATCATCGGCATGCGCTACTGCCAAGATGACAATGCACATGAGAAGCATCACTACAGATTTCTTGCATGCCATTCTTGGTTATGTATTCAGATTGGATTAATCTGGGTACCGAATCTTTTCGTGATTTGATTATTGCTTGTTGAGTTGGTATATTTATAAAATGGTTCGTTTGAAGCTCGTGATAGTCCTAAAATCATGGAGGATTTGTGGTTTTACTGCTAGAAACCAACATAAATACATGGTCACCGATTAAATTGGGATTTATCTTTTTATCATAAATCAGTGATAGATATTTAAACTGTATTTTAGATATTTAACTACTTGGGTATGAAACATGAGACTCAGTATTACTCCTTAAAACCGTTGTTACTTGTATATAAAAAAAACAAATAATATTAGAATTTAAACATTGTAACTGAGTTATGACTTGTAATCTTACATATTTCTCTTTGAATCCCATTTTAGGGTGTACACAGGTCTCATGAAGCTCAGATTCTAACATTTGGGGATTTCAATTCGATTTTTTTCTCAATTTTTAACATTAACGTTTTGTTTTATGAAATTTATAACATTTATTATCATATGTAATTTTATAAAAGGTTTGTAATTGTTTATCAGATTTAGAATATATCAGTTAATATAAACAAAATATTGAAATGCAAAAGGGCAAATTGCATGAAAAAACAATGTACTTTAACTTAATTCCTATTTTGGGTAACGTACTTTCAAAACTTCTATTTTGGTACCAAAAATGTAAAGTTTTAAATATTTAAGTATCCGGGTAACATGTTGAAGCATTAACCAGATACCATGATGATGTGGTGAGTGATGAGATGAAATTGGGTTGAATAGCAAATAATACTGAGTTGGATACCACATCACTCACCACATTAGCATGGTAACTGATTAATGTTTCAACCGTTTACCCGTATACTTAAATGTTTAAAAGTTTATATCTTATGTATCAAGATAGAAGTTTTGGAAGTACGTAACCCAAAAATAGTAATCATATTAATTAAAGTACGTTACTTTTTCATACAATTTACCCACTAAAAAATAAAAATCAAGGTTATCAATTTATTTGTAACAAATTAATAACAAATATCATCAATATTCGAGTAGTTGATTAATAGAAACATTTTTTAAATAATATATCAATTTATTTTAAATTATAAATATTTATTATATTCTAAATACCAAAAGTAGGTCACCAAAGTCCTTCAAAAGCATAATTTTTTTGTATTTTCCAAGTTCCCAATTTATCATATAAATTCACTTGCAAAAATCTTTGAATCAAACTCATTGCTACAAACCAAGTACCCAAAAAAATGGCTACAAAAAAATTTGAGGCATTTGGTCTAATCATGGTCATGTTATGGGGTATTGCCATGGCTCAATCAGGGTGCACCACTGCTCTAGTGAGCTTGAGCCCATGTCTTAGCTATGTCTCCGGAAACTCATCGGCCCCATCATCTACTTGTTGCTCGCAGCTAGCCAACGTGGTCGTATCACAACCACAGTGTTTGTGCCCGTTCACTGGCAATGGTGGTGGCTCACCGATGGGTTTGAACATCAACCAGACTTTGGCTTTGGCCTTACCTGGTGCTTGTAACATCGTGACTCCTCCAATTAGCCGGTGCGATGGTATGTCATACTTTTTCATGTTAAGTGTCTTCAAAACCTTTCTATGATAAATATAAATCAATATTACTTTATGTTGTACACAAAGGCGATTCACATTTATTTTCGACAAGGATACAAAATAATTAGCATAATATGAAATAAAATAAAAAAAAAATTATAAAAAATACGGTTTCATTTAAAATCGACTATAAATGGTTTTTTGCAACTCCCAGGTCGCTTATTCTTACTTTTTGTTGTTTTTTAAATATAAAATATTTGTGTACGGTAAATAGAAAAAATAAACCCACACACCCTCCTCACCTTTGGTGAGTTTTGAATCATTGATCTCCTAGGAAGCTAATGACTCACATACCGTTAGGTCAAAGACCTTTTGGTTACTTTTTGTTGTTGTTATAAAACAAACTAAAAAACAGCTAAAAGATTCAAACTTGCAACCTATAATACCATATGTAGTAGCATTATTTGTAGGCTACAAACAATTCTTGTTAACTTAAGGAACAATAAATTAAAGTGGATACAACTTTAAGACAACCAAAAATACGGGCACCCTTCCCCTCCTTAAATTTCGCATGGCATTACGCTCATATTTTAACACATCAAAAATTGTATCGTGTAATTCTAAGTCTAGTGGTATGTGAGTCTTTGACCTCTTACGAGGTCAAGGGGTTCAAACCTCACCAAATGTGAGGAGGGTGTATGAGTTTATTTGTTCTATTTACCGTATATAAATACTATATACTTCAACAACAACAAAAAGTTGGAGATGACAATGGGTCAGATTAGGTTGGGTTCGGATTCAACCTTTATTAAACAGGTTAAAAATTTCAACCTAACCCAACCCATTTATTTAAATGGGTTAGACGGGTTGATCCATTTATTTAAAAGAGTTGAAAATCTCAACTCAACCTGCTAATTTTGTGTTGGGTTGGGTTGGGTTAACGGATTGTCACCCCTAAAAAAAACTCTTTTTCAGATGGTGCTAATGGACCAACAAGTTCTACGCCTTCAGGTGAACCATTCAAGGCAATAAATCTATTTTCACAGCTTTTTGAGTATTTTTCTTATGTTTTTGAGACATCCATGGATATATATATATATATTGCAGAAAGTGGAACGAAGACAACACCGGGAACAAGTGTTGGCACATCCGGTGGTGCTACGAAAAACCTTCCATTTTATGCCACGTTCGTTCTTTTCTTCGTAGCTACATTTTCTTCGTACTATATCGCTTAAGTTCTCCTAAAATTTTATATTTGTCTACGTTATTACTTTGTTTGTTTGGTATTGTATGTACGTGCATCGTTTATTAATAAAATAAATTTGTGGGCCCTTATATTACGTTTATGTTCGTGTGAAAAAAAAGTTCAATGATCGTCTATGTATTTTTAAATTAAGGGTTTTAAAGCAATAAATTAATTCCTTCAAAAATAAAACAAATTGCATGAAAAAAGTAACGTACTGAAACTTGATTCATATTTTGGGTAATGTACTTTCATAACTTTCATTTTGGTACCTAAGATGTAAAGTTTTGAACATTTAAACATTCGAGTAACCAGTTGAGATGTAAAATTTTATTGTGAAACTGAAACTGAAAATTAATATTATTTTTTTAGAAGGAAAAAACTAAATTTTATTTTTAAATAAAATAGAAATTACTGTGTGTGCAATAATGTACATCTGTATATAAATGACTAAATATGCTAATTTGTTTTTGATATTTTTTTCAAAAGCATCCACACCAAACAAATACTTTCATAAACATCGATTAGTTTGTGCCGAATAGCGAAGAACCAAAAGACAAAAATGTCCTTCGTTTACAAAAAGACGTGTGGGAGCTTCGTTGGATCAAAAAAGATCTCAACTTAATCCACATGGTCAAAGTAAGAGAATATAAGAACGTTATGTCACATATGGTTCTATACCAAAAATCGCATGTGATATGTAACAGTCAACACAGGGGCATGTTGCCCCTACAATCTCAAAGGTTTGATCGTTGCTTAATCACATGTGATTTTTAGTATAATATCATATGTAATATAGGTTTTCACATGTTCTCGTACTTTAATTTTATTCTTGTATGAACTATGAATTCCCCTCCCTCCCTCCCTCTCACTCTTTATATATATATGGGAACGTTCAAATAAAAATCACTCAATTTGTAAAAACCGTGAAAAGCTCATTCAACTAATCATAATTTTTCATTTTGTTCATTTTTTTGTAGTTATGAGAGGTTGATTAACCATTTTTATTGTGGAGGGTGTTAATCATGGATATTATCATCTTCATTATTTTAATTTTAGAAAAATACATGAAACAGTTTCATTAAAATTTCATTAAATATTATATGAAACAATTTCATAACCATATATG